CGACTACTACGACTACTACTACTACTACTACGACTACTACTACTACTACTACTACGACTACGACTGCCACGACTACTATGACTACCACCACGACGATCTATCGATACTACTGCTACTATTACTACGCCTACTGCTATGACTACTGCTACTTCCACCACTACTACTACTACTACTACTACTACTACTACTACTACTACTACTACCACGACTACGACTACGAGTACTACCACTAGTACTACTACTACTAGAAATGCTACTACTTCCACTACTACTTCTACTACTACTACTACTACTACTGCTACTACTAGTACTAGTACTACTACTACTACTACTACTACTACTACTACTACTACTACTACTACTACTACTACTAAACTACCACGACTACTACGACTAATACATACAACTAGTACTAGTACTACTACTACTACTACTACTACTACTACTACTACTACTACTACTACTACTACTACTATTACTACCACGACTACTACGACTAATACATACAATTTCTACGGCGACTACTGCTACTACGACGACGCCGACTACGCATACGGCTACGACTGCGACTACGGCTACGAATACAAGTGTGAATACGATTACGACTTCTGATACTACAACCCACAAATACAATCGGCACTACTTCGACTACTGTTACACCTGTTACTAATACGACCACTACTACTACTACCACTACTACTACTACTACTACCACTACTACTACTACTACTACTGCTACTACTACTACCACTACTACTACTACTACTACTACTACTACTACTACTACTACTACTGCTACGACTAACCAACGCCTAACACTACAATTACTATTGCTACTACTACTACTACTACTGCTACTACTACTACTACTACTACTACTACTACTACTAAAACTATTACGGCTGCGACTACTACTAGTACTACTGCTACGACTACTTTTACTACTACTACTTCTACTAGTGCTACTCACTCTCACAACCACTACGAACACATATACAATGACGAATTCGAGCTATTACAAAATCTTCAACTACTACTGCGACGGCGACTACTCCGACTGAAACTATTGCACCTACGGCTGGATATGCGACGGCTGCTACTGGTAGTGGCACCACGACGCCTACCAGGACGACTGCGACAACGACTACTACGACTACGACTACGACAGCGACAACTACTACCGCCATTACTACTACTCCTACTACGGCTACCACTACAACCACAGCTTCGACGACGACTGCGACGACGACTAATATTTCTACTACTACGACAACGACTACGAATGCGACTACGACTGCTACGACTACTACGACGACTACTACTACTGATTACGACCAATACTACTGATACTACTACTGGTGCTACTACGACTTCTACTACAACTGCTACAACCACTGCGACAACTTCAAGTCGTAATACTACTACTGTTACCACTACTGGTACTACTACTACCACTACGGCTGCTACGACTACTGCTATGGCTGCCACCACTACTCCAGATTCGACTGGTACTACGGCTACTACTGTTACTACTACTACTACTAAAACGACTACTACGAATACTACTGCGACTGCTTCTGATACAACTTCTACTGGGCTTACTACGACTACCACTACTACTACTACTACTACTACTGCTGCTACTACTACTACTACTACTATTACTACTACTACGACTACTACTACTACTACGACGACGACTACTACTACTACCACTACTACTACTACTGCTACTACGACTACTGCTACTACTACTACTGTTCTCCTTGTCACTACTACTACTACTACTACTACTACTACTACTACTACTACTACTACTACTACTACTACTACGGCTACTACTACTACTACTACTACTACTACTGCTACTACTACTGCTGCTGCTACCCTTACCACTACTACTACTACTACTACTACTACCACCACCACTACTACTACTACTACTACTACTACTACTACTACTACTACTGCTACTACTACTAGTACTACCACTACGACTACTACTACCACGACTACTACTACTACGACTACGACTACGACTACTACTACTACTTTTACTACTACTACTACTACTACTGCTACTACGACGGCTACTACGACTACGGCAACTATTGCTCGTACCACTACTACAGCCACTTCTTCTACTACTACTACTACTACTACTAATACTACTACTACTACCACTACTACTACTAGGACCCCTACTATTACGATCACCGCGGCAACGATTGCTAATACTACTACTCCTACTACTACTACTACTACCACTACTACTACTACTACTACTACTACTACTACTACTACTACTACTACTACTACTACTACTACTACTACTATTGCTTCTGCGTGTACAACTACTAAAACTAGCACTACTAGTACAACTACGACTACGACCACTTGTGCTACTGAAGTTGTTGCCTCTGTGGCCCCTGCTGCCTCCAACACTGCTACGAGTACGACGACGACTACGACTACGACTACTACCACTCCCCCTGCTACT